GTAAGGTGTACTACACGTCTTCAGACTTTTTTTTTTTTAAATAAAAACAGATGGTATTGAGCATAAGTATTCCAATTCAAAGAATCTATTATTACAGAAACCTACATGGACAGCTGAGGTAGATGCCTGCCTATTGCTTTCCTAACCACAAAGTAAGGACAAGTCGGCCAGGCTGCAGGTTAATACAGAAGGTACCCAAAAAGTAAGTTACATAAAGTTTAGCAGATGTGCTAAACGATGATGCATCAGTGAGGATAAGCTGAAAAGTGCAGCAGAAACTAACAATCACAAGATCTCAGTGGCTTAAAACAACAAAGGTCTACTTCTTGGTCACAATATATGTCCAACTCCACTTTATTGGAAGCTTTGCTCATTTAGTGATTCAGGGCTGAGGGACATGGAGGCTCCATTTCAACATGTGCTTCCATGATCATCACAGCAGAAGAGAACTCTGGATGGCCTCACACTGGAAATTAAATGTTCTAGCATTGAAGTAATACAAGTCACCTTTAGTACATCCTTAAAGGAGAGAAACAATGGCAACAGGGAATATTAATAGTTTCTCCCACAGATGATACTAAGACACAAACTGTGGAATGACAAAGGGATTTGTTAAAGACGATGATCAAATAAAACATCTGGATAGCTACAAGGTTCACATAATTCTGACCAGGGAGGGTATGTAGGTATCATTTTAGAGCAGTGGCCTCAACATAAAGAAGTCTCAGACAACATAAACCTGGACCCCAAATTTTCAGTACAACTCTGCTTTTTTCTATAAATATACTGAGGGTCCAGATAAACTTTTATTTAGGAAACAAAAAAGTTTCACCAGCTGAAAAAGATTTCAAAGCCACTAATGTAAACCAAACCTTTTATTTTACAAACTTAAAAAGGAGAGAGAGAGAAAACAGTGAGACCCAGAAAATTAAAGTGACCCTACTCTAGCCCTCAGAAAGCTCTGGAATGGTTAGCACATGACAGGCAGAAATTAGTCCATTGACAAAGTCTGTTGTACCTCTGCAGCACCCTCTGACCTTACCATTCCTCTCTGCTACCTTTAACTGGCACAATGCATCCAGGCCCAGACTAAAATCATGTCATATGAGATAAGCAAGGGCTCACTAATTGGTATCAGTAATGAGTAGAAGTCCCCATCCTACAGCACTAAATAGTGATTCACATGCCACTAGCAATTCTCTATATTACTCCTTCCCTACTCCCTGGCAAATGGGAAGCCATCAGAAGTTCATACCAACCTTCAGGAGACTTTCGTTTTATTATCAGAAGATTACAGGTTAACAGCTAACTATGATCTGTTCACCCAATTCCATTCTCTTCTCCCATTCCCAGCTGTGCCCAGCTCTCCCTCTGCCGTCACTCACAGCACTGCGTGTCACGTACTTAAGCCTCAAGGGTCTCCCAACACCAGTCTCTGTCTTTTTCAATCATCTTATACTTACTATCTCATGAAATCAAACTCAATCTTTTCAACCTGGAATCCAGTTGCCTCCTCAATCTTACTCTAACCTACTTTCCCAACATTCTCTTCACTGTGGTACTTATCCTGCCTGGCCACAGGTGGGATGACGGGCCTGAAAGTCAAAATGACATTGTTCCCCAACTCCTCCACTTACTGTTGTGTGATCTCTGGCAAGTCCTTGACCTCTCTGAATTTTGATGTTCTCACCTGTAAAATAGGTTTGATAGCATCTATTATGAGGGGCTCTTGAGAAGGTATATATGAGAGAGGAGTATCTTTGGATGCCAGTAGTAAACAATGGCTTACATGGAAGGAGGTTTTTTTGTTTTAAGCAATAAGAAGTACAGAAGAAAGGCCGGACACGATGGCTCACACCTGTAATCCTAGTACTTTGGGAGACCAAGGCAGGAGGGTTATGTGAGGTCAGCAGTTTGAGAGCAGCCTGAGCAACATAGTGAGCCCTTGTCTCTGCAAAAAATTAGCCAGGTATGGTGGCTCACACCTATAATTCCAGCTATTCAGGAGACTGAGGTAGGAAGAGCACTTGAGCCCAGGAGTTTGAGGCTGTAGTGAGGTATGATGATGCCATTCATGCTACCCAGGGTGACAGAGTGAGACCCTATCTCAAAAAAAGAAAAAGAAAAAAATCATAATAAAATATCAAGGAATATAAACATTGCTGAAACTGAACTGCTGGCAAGTAGGTGTCCGTGTGACGGCCAAAATATTAGCTGACAAAAATAAATAAATAAATAAATAAGCTAAAGAATGTGTCAATGAAACAGAAATGCAAACCATACCAGTCAACCTAAAAATTAAAGACTAACTGCTCAGGTGAATTTGTGGACTCCAACATCATTCACCTAATTCATTTTTCAAGATATCTGTTTTGGCAAACCTTTACCATTGAGTTTGACCAATGGGAAGAGACTGATAAGGCTTATGTCTTGCGGCTTTTTCAACATAATAAAACAAGACGGCCATACTATTTTAAGAGAATAATTTTTAATATATCTTTGTAAGTAAAAGAAGAACAAAAAACAAACAAACAAAAAAAACCCTCTAATAACTTAGGGAAGAAAAAAGCAAACTGAATGATGTTAAAAGTATTTATTCAACCAACATTTATCCAAAACTCCAATTGGAAATTTAAGGTATCAAGAAAAATGGAAGAGGATGGATTTTGTCTTGTTTTACCTTCTTTTAGGACATCCATTAAGTTTGGAACTAAATTTCCATTGGGCCAAAACTGATCTACTCAAAATAGACAATACACACAGATACTAAATCTGCCTACTGCAGAAGCAACAGCCTTCAAATGGAAAGGCAGACAGGCTGGTGCAAAGACAGTCAACACCACAGTCAACTCTTAAAAGGATAGGCTGTATGTATGCTGGGTGAGCCCACACTTCAGACTGGACACATGCAGCCTACACAACCAAACTTTGAATTCAAGGCCATGGCCAAGGTCATGGGCTCTGGGTCAGACAAACCTGGGCTGAAGATCTTCCTCTCACACTGAACTGTGCCAAGATACTTAATTCCTTTTAGTTTCCTCTTCTGTAATTTGGGAATAAAAATAGTACATACCTCACAAGGGCTCTGCAAGGTTTAAAAAGGATAATGCATGTAAAGGACTCTCCAAAGTGCTAGCATATGCGATGATGATGATGATGATGATGACGATGATGATGATGATGATGATAGCAATAATATTGCCTTGACAAGCCTGGCTTCCACATGGATACCATCCTAATCGGCATATTCTGGCTCACAATCTGTTCATGAAATGCTAAATTTACAGCATTATGTTTATATCCAGGTACAGCTTCTGTAAGGTGACAGCTCCCTGGATCAACCAGCAATTTTTTTAAATGAATTCAGAGAGAAGAGTGTTGAAAAATTAGCCTTTCAATGATAGAGAATTTAGAAGGATATGGTCCTTCGCCCATGATTCATCCACTCATGAAAGTCTTGCTGGTGAAATCCATGACACCACCACCATTCACACCTCTCTACCCTCCAAAACCGTGAAAGTCTTTTATGAAAGCACAGAAGCAAACCAACAAGATGGCTCACAATAGCAAAAAGCAAACTCCTCTGCCCCCCAGAAAGAATATGGTTTGACCCCAACACCACACTGACATTTCACAAAAGAGAACAAGGCAGCCCTCACTTCCAGAAGTTAACTGTCAAAACTAAAAAAATCCCTTCTATTCACGTTAATCCTAATAAAGAACACTTGCCGGCTTCAAAAATATCTTACAAATCCATCCAATAGAGCCAGAAGCCAAGTACTATATATTGAGAAACAATGTGACTTTACAAGGACAAAAGTGACCACAGGAGACAAAGTGCCACACCCTTTTCCCAGATAGCTTAACAGTAAACGGTGTCTCTTATAAAGGCTGCAATTCTGGAGGAAAGGGTGGACAATTCTTACACCACCACTCCCCATTTCATTCTTTACCCAGGTCCTTTCATTTTTAAGCCTCAGCATCCCCAACTACTACAACTAATAAAACGGTGGGAGGGCGAGGAGACAAGGAAACAGGTCAAATATACTTGCTTCTAAGCCCATTTCCGAAGAGTTTTCTTCCCGCTTGTCTGTCTCTCACAGCTGGAGCCCCACACCGGGTGGAAACCAATGGTTAAGTAAAACCACTGATTTAAAGAGCCAACCAGGAAACTAACCATGACAAGTGGGAGCTGCCCTCCTCTCCCGAGCACTGATTGGCTCTTGGGGTTCCACCGGTCCTCGTCCTACCCACGTAAGTGGCAGGTGTGGCTGTCAATCTCGGAGGGAGCTGACACTCCGCCGCTCGGGGAGTGAACTGCCTGTCATCCGGCAAAGGCAGGTGGCCGCCTCGCCGGCCCTCGCCCACCGAGCGGCCCCCGGCCAGGAGCCCCCGACGCGCGGAGCGCACGAGGCAGGGCCGAGCGGAGAGTTTGCGGGCGCTGTTTCGTCACCCCGCCGCGGCGCAGCCCTTAATCTTCACTGTCCTGAGATGCTCCTTCAGACGCGCGCGGCGTTTTCCTCAGTTAGGTGCGCCCGCGCGAGCGCCTTCCAGCGCGGTTAGGAGACGGGGCGCCGTTCGGCTTGGTTTCAGGCCGTGTTCCTTCCGTGCGCCACCCGGCCCTCCCGACACGTACGGCTGCATTTCCCCGACGCGGATTTCCAAACACGCTCCCCTTGCACCCCGGCACCAGGCCCCCGCCCGGGGCGGCTCCGCCCCCTCCGCCAGCTCCGCTCGGCGCCCCGCGCCCCCGCCCGCGAGCGCCGCGCCCCCCACGGGCCGCCGGGCGGAGGGCTCCGGCGAGAGGAAGGGGCGCCGGGCGGCGCGTGCGCTCGTCCCGACCCGCTGCGCGCCGCGGCACACCCGCCCGTAGGCCGCCCACCCTTCGCGCGCCCGAGAAGCCCGGGAGGCGGCGGGCGGCGCGCCCCGGGGTCCCGGGAACGCACTGCAGCTCCCGCGCGCGAGGGACCCGCTCGAGGGCACGGGCGCCGGCGTCTCACCTTGGCGAAGCCGCCGGCCGCCCACATGGATTTACTACCTCGCGCCGCCTGGCCCCGGGCGGCCGGAGGAGCCGGAGCCGGCGCTGGAGCCGGAGCCCGAGCGAGCGCGAGCGGGAGCGGGAGGCGGCGGCAGGGGAGGAGCGGGCGGGAGGAGGGAGGGAGGAGGGAGGGACGCTCGGAGGGCCGGGCGCGGGCCGGGCGGGGCGGCAGCCGAGGGCGGCACCGCCGCAGTCCCCGCCGCGCTCGCGCGCTCGCCGCGCGCCCGCCGCTCCCGCTCCCAGCATTTCGCGGGAGCCGGCGGGGCGGGCGGGCGGGCGGGCCGGGAGCGCGCGCCGGGCGGTGGCGCGGAGCGGGCGCTGCTCCTGCGGCGCCGTCGCGAAGACCGGCCCCAGCCTTCTGTCCCCTCGGAAAGCTGCCAGGCACCCCGGGACTTGCCAGGTGGCTTTGGCGACGTGGGCAGGGATGCCACTTATCTTCTAAGTGAAGCCAGAGTGGGGTTCGGGCTTCCCATGTCCTGGCACCCTTCCATCAGCTTTAATGTTCTTTAGGAGGGTGAAGGCATTTCTTAAGATTTTTACTTTCTTGTTCCCCCAAGGAAAGAAGAGAATGGAAGATGAAGAAGAGAACAAAAAAAGACCGTATTCATCATATTCATTGGATGCTTCTTCTGTGCCCAGAAACGTGCGTACATCGTCCCGGTTAAGGTAGAAAGGTGATGTCCGCCGAGTTCATGCACACATCTCGAGGTAATGCGCAGGAGGATTTGGACAAGTGTCGCGTTGGAGAAAGCATCCACGCAACAAGTGCGGAGCTTGGCCACTGCCACTGTGTATTAGGGTGGGGACAGGGAAAACATGGGCGTCTTTAAACTTGGTGTCTCTCCCAGAGTAGTCAATTTGCAGGACGAGAACAGTGATTTCCTTCGAGTCCTAATGAGACTGCTTCCAGTAATTTCAGTGGCCAGATCTAAATGTCTCCTGCTGGGAAGCTCAGACAAATAAAGCAAATCCAGCCATGGCACGTCTGGGTGTGCAGAGGTATGTAGGTAGTACAGTGAGTAGGGGGTGGCTCCTTTCCTCCCCTGGTGGAAATCCAAATATTAAATAATTCCTGCTGAGGGACTTGGACCCTGAAAGACAAGGATGCCTTCCTGTTCCAGCCCAAATGCCTATTCCTTAAGCCTTTCTTTTATACCTCTGCATTTAAGATTTTTATAGACCTCTGAGGCCTTGTTGCCCTCATCCTCTTCTTTTTCTCCATCACCATGAAATCAGCACTCATTCTCCTGACCTGGATGCTCCAGGAGCAACTCAAGCTACACCTCATTGTGCTTGACATCCTGGACAACCTCCGCTCAAAAGGCTAGTTATATATTAGAGCCTTGTTGAGAGTCCTTTGAGAATTCCTAAAATCCCACATCTTTAAAATGTGACCAACATTTTGAGTACCTCCTATGTGTGAGCACTTCCAGTTTTTCATCTACTCTCACAAACTCTTTATAAGATGTTTACCATCTTTCAGAAAAATCAGGTAACATATCCAAGGTGATCCCGCTAAGAATTTACTTCCATGAGTGTCCAAGTTTCACAACTGTTAGCCACGCATTCTCTTTTCCTTTGATCCATGGGCTCTAAACAGGAATCTTTGACCTTCAGAGGGATAATTTATTGTATATTTGCCTATGTGCATTTTTCCCACAGGGAGAAGATCCATAGTTCTCAACAGATTTCTTTCAAATTGAGTCCTTGACCTAGAAAAAGTTAAGAATAATTACTTTAAGTAAAAAGTGACTTTATGTAGTAAAACAAGAACTGGGGATTTTAGGGATCTTAAGCACGTCATCTTTGTCTTCTCTGGGACTTAGTTTTCTCATCTGAAAAATTAAAAAGCTAAACTAAAGAATCTTAGGATCCTTTCCAGCTCTAACATTCTCTAACTTTATGTTAAAATACACATTATATATTTGTGTATATGTGCACAAATACACACATATACATATGTGTGTATGCTAACAAGTAGCCATTGTGAGATCTTACCCTCAGGACGGAAAATTACAAAATGTGTTGTTTTAGAAAACATCGTCTATTGCTCCATGGTTTTTTGTTGTGGTGGTTTATTTTGTTGGTTTTTCACATCTTTATTCAGCATGGCAATTTCTTATCCAGCAAGTCAGAGAGAGTACACTCTCAGATATTTTTTCTCACATAGTCATTCATTTGTTCATTCATGTTTATTGAGCATGTACTCTCTGCTAGGTCCTGTGGGCTCAGAGCCCCTGCCCTCAAGGGCCTACAGTCTAGTGAGGGGGCAAACAAGCAGGCAGTTGCAATACTGCCTATGAAGGAACAAAGTTCTGGGATCTGTGGGACCATGCAGGAAAGATAGCCAACCCCTGGGGTTCAGAAAAAGGTTTCCCAAGGAAATGTCCAAATGCCTACCACATCCAACTTTGCTACCCTCCTTGTGCTCACCCTGCATTGGCAGGCTGCATGCTCTGTGAACCCAGCCAGAGTAGATGGGATCTGTGGTGGACACCTGCCCCTGGGTGGGCGATGACAGGCTCTCTCCCCAGCATTTGAAACTGAGCTTCAAGAATGAGTTGGCCAGCTGGCTCTGAATGGTGAACTTGCAGACTGTGGTGGCCCAGTCTGAACTATTATTTTAAATTATTAAATTATGATGCCAAAATCACCACCAAGTAAGTTCTAAGACCCCTGCCAAGGAAGCTGGTCAGCAAAGAGGAGACTAGACAGCCATGTATACAGAAACGAGAATCCTAAAGTCCTAAATGGTTTAGATGTCTATCTGCTTACTTGACATCCCAGGTGCAGGTATCTAACCAGCCTCTCAAACTTGATTGGTCCTAAACAGAACTCTTGACTTTTATGCACCAAGCCTTTTCTCTCACAAGGTCACCATCAGGATAATGACGTCATCATTCATCCAGTTCCTCAGGTCCAAACCTAGGAGCATCATTAATTCTTCCTTTTGCTTATACCACACATCCACACCAGCAGTCAGTTCTGTCAGCTCTACCCAGTCCTTCAGCCTTATCAGAGCCTGAAGCAAAAGCAAAACTGTGCACCCTTACATATTTTTTTGAACCAAGTAGAAAAAAGGTTAATGAAAGCTCTACAATGAAAAAACATAACTACATATAAAGCACCATTTTGCCCAATCAGTTTTCCTACCATTGTCAACCCTTATAAACCTGCCAGTGGAGGAATATGATAGCCAAGTGGCCTTGGAACCAGGTACTAGTTGGAAACAACTATTCTTGTTGCACAATGATGCAGAGTCATAAGGCAAGCAACACCTGTCTTGTTTTTGTTTTTTTCTCCATTGTGGATTTTTTTGGTATTCATTTTGAATCCAGTAATAGCAAAAAAGAACAAATACTTGCATAGCCTATACTATGTGCCAGGCCCTATTTCAGGCAGTTTATGTGCATTAATTCATTTACTCCTCATTATCGACCTGAAAGATACCATTATTATACCATTTTACCAAGGAAGACACTGAGGCACAGGTAGGTAAGATATAAAAACTTACCAAGACTACACAGCTGAAAAGTTGCCAGACTGAAATTCTAACCCAGATGTTCTGGTTCCAGAACCAACAAGGCAAAAAGTCAGCTGGATTTGGTGAGTGATCAGCTATGGGACAAAAGGGAGGAGTCAAGAATGCTGCCAGGAGTCTAGTTTGGGCAGCCAGGTGCATGGGACACCACTCACTAAGACTGGAAATAAAGGTTGGGTGGAAAGTACAGGTTTATGGAAAAATTACCGGTTTAAGGCCGGGCGCGGTG